GGACATTTGGGGCTTCAAGCTTTGTTTTTCTTCGTTCTCCCACCCAGTTTTTCTTCTGTATTCTCAGCTCTGTTTGTGCCGAGACCGTACAAAATTCAATTTCCAGTTCAAGCCTGTCGATGTCCAAACTCCCAGAGGAATCAGAGCTCTATAAATCTAGACTAGATGTTTTTGAATGTTACCATACCTGACTGTCAGAAGTGCTAAAGTGTTTAAAAGCTAACCAACTAATGATTTATGGTTAGTTTGACATGAACTCTGACATATTCAGCTAAACAAATATAGTGGAGGTTCCCCTTGTTAGTTTTGTTTTAGCCTAGATTACTCACTGGTGCAAGCTAAATGCAATACTGTCGCAACACTCTGCGTGTCTGTGTGTGTGTGTGTGTGTGTGTGTGTGTGTGCGTGTGCACAACTGACACTACTTCCTTAAAGCAGCTAGAACATGCCAGGAGCTGTGACAGGAACAATGGGCACTTTTATCTGAGACTTTTCACAAGAGGAAAACATAAACAGAATAAAAATAGATGAGTACTAAGTATTTCTCATCACAAGGCAAAATGCATTAACTCTCCCTCTGTCTTTATCTTCTGCTCTGTCTCACACACACACACACACACACACACACACACGCACACGCACACACACACACACGAAAGAATTCTATATTTTAAGTTAAGTTTTAGCACAAGTGCTCCAATTTGATCAATGAGCACTTAAATCTTTAACAACACAAGTCAAACAAAATACAACCCTGCCACTGTCAGCATGGTACATTACAAATGATATAATGGCATCACTGCAATAACTTACTTGTTTTTAAGTGATAGGCAGTGTGTCTGTGTGTTGTTGTGCAACAGCAAATGAGACAAAAACAAAGTGAGTACTAATATGATTTAGAGGAGGACGGCAGGAAGCAGACAGCACTAATGCAATGGCTCCTGCATTAGGTCTTTAGACACCAACCACAGAGCACTGAAAACATGCGCACACACCAAATGAGAATAAATGCATAATCGTATAAGAACCTATATGCAGAAACATCCCTTTCCTCTGTGAATACTCGCTGTCACATTAAAAAGATGTCCTCTGTCCTCCTGCTGAAACACTGGTACCACAAATATCCTCTCTGCTGTCTGACTTGTGACAGAACACTGCTGCCCGTCAACTCGCATCAGAGTTGAAAAAGAGGAGGAGAAAGCGAGAGATTTGGACAGATGCTTTATTCCTCACTTTCCTTGGGCATTTGTGTTTGTTTGCTTCGTTGCCACCTCCTCAACGGGAGGACTACTGCCCTGAATCCTTCAGTCAGCAAAGCCCGGGGTGTAACCAGCGATCCGACCGCACCCGCATGACATTAACGACTCAGCATTGCCATCACAATGGAGGAACTGATTATGAAAAATAGTCTGCCGCAGCCGAACGGATGAATACGGCAGCGTATAGACAGGAGAGCGTATCTGGAATATGCATGTGTGAGCATGTGCAAGCTTTGCTCTGACACTTTTTCCTGCAGCGCTTTTAAGTTCTCTTGAAGGCTTGTGTGCTCGTTTGGGTTTGTGTGTCTTCCATTTCAGGCTTTGTCGACTTCTCTGTAGGTTTATTGTTCCTCAGACAGCTGATGAGCACACAAAGAGGAACCATCAACCACACAAACTTGCCCACACACACATACACAAGAGAATGCCAAACTAAAATTAAATCACACTAGTAGTTAAGGCTGCATTAATGAGCATCCATGTGTCACCGAGTCACGTTAAGTTCCCTTCTGCTGAGTCTTCGTGCTCGGCCAAAATCAAGACCACACAGCATCTTCAATCTTCTAACCTACATTTATATTCCCTATCCCATCCGAAAAGTAAAACTCCCCCAAATCTCTAACCAAACAGATGCCCTGAGGGCTTTAATCTTTAATTCATTTTAGTCTTTATAGCTGGTCTTTTCTAGGGTGATAGATCTGCGATTAGTGGAACGGGGTTGAATCTTCTCATTATCTTTATGCGAGGTTTAATCCGGATGCTTGGTTCTTGTCTTAGGCTGGGTTCTCTGTGGCTGTGCCTACCCCATGCTGGGAAAGGCCACTGCTTTAGGGGCTTACCCTCTCACACACACCTCATTATGGGTGCTGGATGGGACCGGGAGGTGTCATTAGTGGCAGACATCTGAGGTTCAGTGCGTTGGATTACTCTGGCGACCTATGCTGCTCAGTGCCGCTCAGATCGATACATTTCACTGAAAGTAATGTTTATAATTCTCAACTTGCGTGTCAAACTTTCATTTTAATGCTATTAACAAGATATCATATAATACAAGCTGCATTTGGGGGGAATTAACTCTACAAGTCCAGAGCTGCTGTCCGTGGACACGCAAGTCAAGTAATTCTCTAAATCCAATTAGTGTAAAGCTCTTCATCACTCAGTGGTTAAACATGTATGTCCGATTACAGAAAAACAGATGATGCGAACAGTAATCCTAAATCACCTCACAAGATAAACATAAAAGCCAAACCTTGAAATATCCGGATTGTTTTTTCCTCTTTCTCTTGGCGTGTGGGAGGGGTTTACCCCTTTCAAGCACACAGCTGATGGTCTTGGGTTACACATCCTCATTATAGTTCAATGGCATCTTCATTATCTTTACCTGTTACTGTAGGCTCATCTCAAAAGGACAGCGTCTCAGTGCATGTGGTCTGATGTCATGTAAAATGACATGCACAAGACACAAGCACATATTTTACTCCCAGTAGCTCAAAGCTAGCACATAGCTTCCATAACGACAAGGCCTTTACCAAATTAAGGTTCATTTATCAATTCGTAATACGGTACACTACAGGACTCTTCAGGACGTGGAAAAGCAGAAGGTGAGACTGTATATAGGAAGAAGAGTGGATATCTGGGAATGATCCACTGAACATCCATAATCTATCTTCCATGACAGAGCACACGGAGCAGAAACCAATTAGCCAAGCGTCCCATCGGAAATGGAGAAGCAGATACGATAAAGGATGAGCCCACAGCTGCAAGCTACAGGGCAAGTTACAATTAACCTCTCCCTAACACACACACACACACACACACACACACACATTTCCATGAGTATGCACACAAAGCTACCCTACATACTTGCCCATTTCAGTAATAAACCTCTGGCAGGTAAGAAGAGACTGTAATGACCCAAAGCTACACTGCATTCAGTCATTTCAATCTCAGATAGAAATATAGGTCATCGCCTATTACTATTATTTTCCTTCAGGGTGTCTCTTTCTTTCATTTGTCTCACCCAATGAATCAAATTATACCCTTTCCATTTTTTTTGTCGCTAATCTCCATCATTACCAGGTTTTCCTGTCATCCTCCTTTTCTCTTTTTATCTCCCTCCTCCCTACCTGGCTGCCTCAGTGTAGGTGTGGCCAGCAACATCACAACAAGGAACAAGGTCACACACAGATGATACAAACAACACACACACACCATGTACAGTAGATACACACACAGGGCTGCTGGGGCAAGGTCAAACATGCTGCGATTTGGGGCCGTGCTGCAGGATGCAGGCTTGTGTAGAGTGAAAGAGAGTGGAGCAAAGATAAAGGTTTGATGATGAGCAGAAAATGACTTCCTTGCATCGAGCGAGATATTACGACCTACTGCACTCCTCTTCCCTCATCTCACCCGTTCTCTGATGCTATCTGGTACTCCTAGAGGGATGGAAAGAGAAGGAGCAATAGAGAAATGCTCTTGTGCTTGTGTGTGTGTGTGAATGAATAATGGATGAAAGGTGCAGATTCAAACTCTGTTTTGACCTATTAATCACAAACTCAGTCACCATCGTCACGGCACACCCACAGCAGCAAGAACTTGGAATATACAATGTGTCCCAGCGCTGCCATGGACAATCTGAGCACACGTGTGACCGCGCGGATGCTCGAACGCTACCTGCCCATGCCGCCACCCACTCACTTTCCCCTTACTCCTCATGCACGTTGCCCCCGGTAACAGGGGGATGGGGTGTGGGTGGATAGTGACCATCTGTCAGTGGCCCGGAGATCAATGAAACTAGAGGGGGTGAGGGGGTCGAGGGAGCGAAGGAGTGGTGCGAGGCTAAATAGGTGGCCCACTGTGACCGGAGCCTGGCTCAATATGCGCCCGTTTTATTTACAGACTGAAGGACAACACTCCCACCAGTCCCACTCGCACGGCCTTTATTAACGACTGACCGGTTTTGGCAGGCCGGCAGAAAGATGCCGTTTACATACAGTGATGCAGTAGCCAATACATACGCTTGCTGGTGTTAAAATGTGCTGCTAATTTTAGAATACGTTCCCATGCTATCGAGGTTGCTGCAATAGAGATGTAAACATACACAGAGATCAGGGAATAATGGTGCATTAATGTAAATCTAGCACACTGTGGCAGTGGGTCAACTGAGAGGAGGCAACACTGCAGCGTATGTTGACTAATTTATCAACAACACAACAATGTCAGCCCTGGGAATGCTTACTCCAGCTTCTTTGTAGGAGCACACACTGCTTGTACACATGCACATATACACACACATACAGACACAAATGCATACGGCACAAAATTGATTTGGCACATTCGAACCAAGCTTGTGTAACTGTTTACAGTGTTGTCAACAGGGGGAAATTCACCACTTTCAGATCAAGGGCTGTCACTATTTTATAGTGAAAAGCACTAAAATAAAACAGCACAGACACACTCAAATACACATACACAGTGTAGTGTGCTGCAATAGAGACTGGACTCATTTAAAATGCACTGTTGATGCTGGTGCTAGAGCCAGAGCTGGAGGAAAAGGTTTGGGTGTGGAAAGGAGAGAAGAGCAGAGACATTCAGTGTGTAGAGTCACAATGCTTCACTGTTTGTTTCTGTGTTTCAGTTTCCACTAAAACAGTAATTAACCTCACATCTTTGCAGCCGATTGTAAGTGAGAACAAATAACCCAAAGTAACCAAAAAACTGGGACAGAAATCACAGACTCACCCAGCATTTGGCTGAACAGCAGTTGTTCCAGGTCTCCCAAGACTGTAACCACTAACTCTGGATCCACCTTTAAAAAGCTCTTATCGTCCTCACCCTCCATCCCCTTCCTCTCTTTCTTTTCCTCCGCTGACAGAGCCGCAGGTTTGGATTTCTCCCCTAGTTTCTTGCCATTAGTTCCAGTAGTCCCAGCTCCATTGGAGTTTGCTTTGGTTGGGTCTGTATCTGCATTCTGGGCTGTCTCAGAGGCCTTGCTAATTGGCTTGACCTCAGCATAAGGTCCCCGTGGTTTGCCAGGTGCAGGGATTCGACTTGGCTTGCCTATATTAGAAGTCACAGAAGGGGAGCAGAAAGACTTTGGCTTCCCCTGAAAGAGAGACTGTTCTGACTTTGAAAGTGTCCGGGACAGTGGTGGTCTCCCACCACCAGCTTGACCTGCCTTACTCTGCCCCGCTTTGTTGGTCACAGCGCCAGGACGGCTTGTGTCATCATTCCACCTGGTAGACTGGTACAGGTGCAGCTTCTTCTCAGCATCGGTGAGCACAGACAAGTTGCTGAGTGAACGCTGTTTGCGAAGCCCGGACTGACTGGGGATTGGAATGGGGATAGATCCGGAGGTGGGCCGGTAGACCTTGAGCTCTGACCCAGAGGGACGCACAGGCCCCTGGGGCAGAGCAGAGGGCTTGGCGGGTGGTTTCCTTGATGCCATGGCCTGGGATGAAGTATCCTGGCAGGGGACAGCAGCAGACCTGAGGTCCAGCTCTCTGGGCTTAGCCGTCATGCTAATGTTAGCCACATTAGCCTCCAGCATCCCTCCTGCAGAGACCCAAGCAACAGCATCAATGATACACTCTGACACAGACACAAGCGAAAAACACTGAAAGACATGGAGGAAGGAAGGGGAAGCCAAAAACAGGACAAAGACTGTCTGGTCTGCACTCCCTCTTCACTCCAGGGTCAAGACAGCCAGACTCCCCGTAGTGAGAGACTGTGGCTTCACCCCTCTATTGCAAATGATGAGTGGGTTAGCAGAGTGACAGCCTTACTCACTGCTGGTAATCCATGGATCTGCAGATCTGCGTCCAGCGCCTAAATCAACTCCCTCACAGCATGTCTGCAGCTCCCGGAGCCGCACAGATGACAATAGTGCTGCCAGAATAAAGCACAGCACTGACCAGCGTCTCTCTCCGTGTCCCCCTCTGCTGCTCTCTCCCTTGCTCTGCGCTCCCTCCTGTTCGCCAGGCACGCAGCAGCCGACTGACAAGAGAAACGGTCGCAGCAGCGACGTCCCCCACCTCCTTTTTTCTCTCCTCCCTCTAACTCGCCTTCACTCTCTGCCCTGCTCACTCTACCCCCGCTGCCTCATTCACCCTCCCTCTCCTTCTTCCTCCCCTTTCCATCCTTCTTTCCTTCTTCTCGTCTCTCTCTCTCCTCCCACTCGCTGATTCACTGCCTCTCTCTCTCTCAAGCACACGCCGCATACGCTGCGTTATGCTGCACACCAGTGAGTGCAAACACAAGGGCTTGACGACAAATTACCAGCATTTCCCATAAACTCAGCTTTTTGCTGTTCCTGTTTTGTAATAAAAGATTTCTTTTCATGAGGGAGGGATGCTCTGAATGCGAACGCTGAATTCTACTGTCCCCATCCATTTATATTTAGGCCCAGTTATTTAATAACTTCAATGCTTTTGAAGTTATTAAATTATTTTGAATCAAAACATGCCCCACCACCCCAAAGAAACACACACACTGTTCCAACCCCTCAGCAATTATTCATAATCACATTAACTGCTCTATTCATCCATTCATATTTAGATTTCCTTACGTGCCCTGATCACCAGAGGCCCACCCGTGATTAAGCTGATTTAAATTATCTGGGGGGAAAAAGCCATGACTGCAGGATCAGCCAAGGAGACGAGGATATGCATTTGTCAGTGCTTAATACACAACAACACAGGCCACTAAACACGCTTCAATTAGTAGCTAAAAGACCCCAAATGGTCATCATATAGCTAAACGCCCCCTCCCCACCGGCCACATATCACCACACCACTCCATCGCTCTTTCCTCATTTCCCTTTATTCCTTTCCTTGTTTCCAGCATCACCCCCTCCCTGCCTTCTAGTTAAATCAGATGCACACGCAATTAAGTTTTCAGGGTACAGATTCATCACATTCGAAATCCATCCGACGATACCTCAGTGTTTAAAGCGAGCGCACATGAGCCTGCGTGGCTAAAGTGAATGGATGTTGACGTCTTTGTTTTTGTCCGTCTTCCCGTGCGTGTGAGTGTGTGCGTGGGCTTTTCTCTATGAGTGTGTCACATCGATGAGACAGGCCCAGAGAAGCCGAAGCTCCGGTCCTGGGCCTTGGGTTGCTCTTGCACGTTTAGCTATGTCACTTGATTGCGGTAGACATGGCATTTCAATCAAAGAAGGACCGAGAAGAGCTTCTTCTTCCTCATCCACCTTATCATTTTATTGTTTAGCAGTTATCATCGTCATGCCTGTCACTGTTCACTTCAAACACCTGCAGAATCTATTCTCCTGATTTCTCGTAACACACAGGACTTGCTGGAGATCTGATAATACAGCACACTGATGTATTTGTTTTAATTCCCCATTACAGGTAATAATGACAGCAGGTTATAAAACGAACTTCAAGTCCATCATAACCCATTAACAATCAATATAGCTGTTTGCGCCATCATTTATTTTTGCGTTGTAATGCATCCTGTCTGAAAACTGGTTCTCAGAGTGGAGTGTTTAGGGTCTGGGCGTATTACCATTACTGTATGTCGATTTTCTGTAATATGCAGGCAGTAGTGCCTGCAGCTATGACGTTATCAGGCCTCAAACTGCTGGGAGCAGTATTCAAACAAGCAGGCCGTTTTCTGTTACATTTGCATAAATCAGTTGACACTAAACCCGAATGGAAACAAGCAGCGTCCTGTTTGCACACTTTCCAAACTCAGTATTAGAGAGGCGCTTTAAATAACGGCTCGTTTTTTATCAGTAACCAAACTGGCGCCAGCCGAACCTAAAAGTGACGATGACAGGCTCTTAGTGTGCGTGCTCGCCCTTAGCCTAAAAACTATTTGGCCTTGAATGTGTGTGTGTGTGTGTAATACAGTAGCTGAGTACATACAAAAATACAGACGCTCTATGGATGTTTTATTGTGAAAAAGCTATAGCCATCAATTAGAGGCAGCAAACTTTAATAAAGGGCCAATGTTGAGGTGGTTATGCCACACTGAAGCCAGAGGTGCCTGGAGACAGTTATGGGGGCTCTGGGGGCAGGTAGCAGGCCAGCAGTGCGAATGAGGAGTGTAATTTAAGGCTAATAGGTGCTGTACGTCAGCTCTTATACCTCCCTGATGAGGGATTAAGGTTAGTGAGTGACCACATACAAGGCAGGTCTGTGGTGTACAGATGCGTGTGGTGCAGATACGCGTCATTGCTCTTGAAAGCATATACATGCAGGTAAAGTGTTGGCAGCACACAGCCACTTGTTTGTTCCAGTGCTGGTCTCTCTGGCTCCACAGTCTAATCACCTTTATATGTAAACATGCTGTATATTCTCTCCCTCTATACACACACACACACACACACACGCACGCACGCGCCGCACGCCACCAAACATTCTCTTACAAAACCACACCGCACACACACACACACTGTCTGTGCTCTGACTAACTGACCTGAGCAATCTGGCCTGACATCAAAGACACTGGCAGTTTCAGAGTGTGATGAGTGCCAGTGTTCAGCAGTAGGCTACACATTCAGCACGGAGCAGACCGTAGTATGATACATAAGTAAGTGTGTGTGTGTGTGTGTGTGTGGTCGCGTATGTGGAGGCAGGCAGACGGAGGCTGACCACAGTGTCTGAACACTTGGGAAACTTCTTATGACATCAAGCAAACAGTTTAATTCCAATATAAAGAGACTTTTAAGCAAAGTTAAGCAAAGGCAAGAGAGACAAGTACGAATAACGTGTGAAGAGTGAAAGGATGGTTTGAAAGCAGGGTGAAACAGAAGCAGAGAGAGAGGCAGACAGACACAGACAGAAGGAACCTGGCTCAGTGCTTTGCATGCATATACTTGGCCTAGCATCTCTGAACAGATCCGCCACTATACTCTGATGGAGGAGTCATGTGAAGCAGCCAGTAGGACACGCTTACTCACAGACACTGTGTACCACATTATATTCATGTTTACAAACTTGCACAACATTTCCACCTTTAAAGGAAAAATACTGCGAAGAGGAAAGCTCTGCAGATCTAGGTGCAACTGCATGTAACGCAGACCCCTAAACTTGTAGAGGAACAGTTCCCATTCAGGCTAAGCAGATGGCATGTGTTCTCACTTCTCACCCACTCCCTCTTGGTTCCTCTTGTTTTGAGTTTGTTTTCACGAGTAAAAATAAAAGTTGCTATGAAGATGAGGCATGCAACAACGGAGTGAGGACGTGAGAAGAAAGTGACGAAGTGTGATTGAGAATAGAAGATGCAGAAAAACGGAGCAAGTCAAAACAAGGGGAGACCCGAGAGCATCAAAGAAGCCTAGCAGATGATATTAGTGGGGGAAAAGTAAAAAAGAAAACCAGTCAAGTTATAGCCCAGAAAGCAAGTCAATGAAGAAAGTGAGAAGAGGAGGAAGAGGACGGGTGAGGAAGGATCTCTGTGTGTTTGCCAGAGAAGCAAAGGAAGTCTGTAAGACAGAGAGGGGATATCCTGCTTCGCTGCCTCGCCACTCCTGCTACATTTGCTTATGTCCGCTAACACACCAACGCGTGGGGTCCACAGGACACACAGAAGAATACCAGACCATGACACACTTCTCCACGAGGGACAGCTCATACTCACACACATGCTGGTACAGCGCAAACACAATGACATGGCTATTAATGTCCTGTTTACACACAAAACACTGAAACGGCAGTCTGACTGATACATACAGTGTGTGGCTTCCTAGCGGAATTGCGTGAATGAGGGAGCGAGTTGTTCACAATGACACCTCTTTAGTGGTCTTATCAAGCGCTGATGATGCACAGCATGAGTCACTGGCCTGAGCATTTGGGAAATTCAGCTATCAGTGACAATAATGTGAGTGCATCAGTCAGCTAATCCAGCGAAAACACCACCAGAGCGAATGCCAGACGTTGGTCGAATCTCCCGCTAAACCAACTAAAATGCAGGGAATATTTGCAGGATGTGGAAAGGGAGAATTTGTGTGTTTTAAAAGGTATAACTCTTTGTAGATGCTCCCTCATACATGCCCCAATGTTGACATTATCAGCACATTTCCCAGGAGTATCCCATAATGCTCTGCTCCTGAGTGTGGTTGCCTAGCTACAGCGTGGTGTGCAAGCAATAGTGGATCATCATGCGTATAAATGTAGACGAACAGTAGTATTTGCCAAAAATAAATAAATAACATTAATTTGAAACCTCCTAAAGCTACAGTGTGTGTTTATATGCTGGTATGTGCGTGTTTTTTGATTCCCCGTGGGTTATTAATTAGAGGTACTTGTGACTTCATTCCTGTGTCCGTGGGCGTGTGCTCCAACATAGACAGGTTACACGCATGAATGACTTGACTTGACTCCCTGGGCTAGGAGTCACCCCACAGGTCAAGAAGCATCTTGCGTATGCACTCATTCACCCGTTCCTCAATTCACTCTTCTCCCTCCATTCTCTCCTCCTTCATCTCCAGCTCTGTAATGCAGCTGTGATTATTGTGTTCCCTCTTCATTGTGAGGAAATGACCCTGGGAGGGAGCAGACAACAGGAGGTGGCTACTCTGACATAAACTG